CCGGGTTAACAAGTTATAAAATGTAATGCAAATTGGATACCGCTACGTCAAGTCGTTTTTAAAATATCGCTAGATTGGGGGCTGAGATGCCATAATTTGGGAGAGCGTTCTAAGGCTGGCAAAGGCGGAGGGAAGAGCAATTTCTACGGCATTCAAGCCGGCTATACTGTATTATCTTCAGTCTGAACTGACAAGGTAGATGAAAGAGGCTCTTGATGTCCTTGGTTGCCCTTCGTTGAGGAGTCTCGAGAGCAACGAGACCCTGTTTCTGCCACGGCTGCCACGCCTGAATAACATATTCCACGTGCGGTCGCACGTAGGTGTTAAGCATTTGGGGAAAGATTGAGGGTTCAAACCGATTGAAGGCTCTGCGAAGAAGGCCGAAGTGTTGATTGCCGGTTCTCGTCTCCTTCTCTGCTTGTTTAGAACACCTGAGATCATCCTGTACCAGTAAACCCAGGTTAGGCTCCTGAGAGGCCTTCTCCAGGCTGTTTTCTCCACGCTTGTAAGCGCTCACCAGCTGGTGACGCACTAAGCTATGTTCAATTGAAGCAGGTTCTTCTTTGACCATTTATAAATGCAATCTAGGTCATGTTGGAGATCGTGATCTGGCTTGTTACTAAGCGTCCGCCATATATTTACATCAGCGGCGAAAGGCAGAAAAAGTGAGGAGGCAGCTCTTGCCAGGTCCTTGGTAAACACAAGGAACAGGCACGGTCCCAGCACCAAGCCCTGTGGGACACCACATTCCACCTCAATTAGGTTACAGAGTGATCCCCTAACACGTACTTGAAGCTTCCGTTGGTAAAGAAAGTTGCCAATCCAACCAAAAACAGGATCTCCGATTCCGTAGCTCTGTAGCCTTTGAAGTAGGATGCGGTGATCTAGGCGGTCGAAAGCTTTGGAGAAATCGATAGGTGACGTCAATTCCGACCCCATCATCATCGTCCAACTACCTCGTGCTATTAGCAGGTTGGTGGTGCGTGACCGGTGTTGACGGAAGCCATGCTACTCCGGTGCCAAGATGTTGAATTTGTCCACGACGACCGCTTCCATCACCTTCGCGAGCACAGGGAGGAGAGCCACTGGGCGATAGTTTGCAGGATCTGAATGGCTAGTGCCTTTAAAAATTGAGGTTATAATGCCACGCTTCCACATAGTGGGGACTTGCTTTTCAGCGACTGAATTGTCTGAAATGCACTTCAACGTAACGTGCAGTCGTGATTGAGATTGCGTGTCGCAATCCACTGAGACACAATGTGTGCTTCGAAATGACCCCTTCAATGATCACAGAACATTGTTTGCAATGCCCATGATAGTCTCCGTATTACTCGAAGTCCATGATAGCTGTACGCTGTATGTTAATTATTCGATCAAGTAAGAATATATGAATGTCTGTAAAACCTCATCTGTTCCCCTGGTTATATGGCTTCTCAATGATCAGGTAGAGTGTACAATGCAGCGGTACGTTCGACCTTACTGTACGGTTGCGAAACCTGGCCCCTAAGATCGGCGGACGTGAAGAGGCTACTTACCTTCGACCATCGGTGCCTTCGCAGTTTGGCTCACATCTGGTGGGAACACCGCGTGAGTAACGAGCGTGTACGACGCCTTGTTTACGGCACAGGAAAAGGGAATGAACCGCTCAGCACCGTCATTTCACGCACCAGGCTCCGATGGCTGGGCCACGTGTTGCGCATGCCAGCCCACCGACTCCCTCGACGTGCGTTGTTTGCTCACTGGGGATGTGGGGGGAAGAAGAGGAGAGGTGGCCAAGCGATGACTTGGTCGAGAGGAATGAAGGCCCTCACTTCGGAGCTGGCCTCAGTTGGAGCTTCACCGCTCCCTGGTTGGGGTCCAAAAGACGGTGAACACGTTTGGCTGGATACACTTGCTGATATGGCAAGGAGCCGACCTCAGTGGCGTTCCTGCTGTGAGTTTCTTTGTCCCTCCCCATCCCTTTAGCCTCCCCCTCCACCTACGATCTTATCTCATAGCGTAAAACATAATAATTTTTCTTTTTGCCTAGTAGCCGGCTGGTAGCTTACCGGAACGATGCCTATCCGTTGCTGGTAGTTCAGCTGGCATTCAAATGTCGTATTTATTTTTCATTTATGTATTGTATGTATGTATGTATTTCCTTTATGTATTGCGGTACAATAGCGGAGGTGTTTTACCATCTCTAGCTGACATGTATAATGATGATGATGATGATGATCAGGCAAATACACATTTACCTGTAGCCGGTCCGCGGGCGTCACGGTAACACCTTAACAGGTAAGAGGTCGATCGGTTTCGTTTCCTGTTATCCTTACCTTCCTATTCCACTCCGGCACTTCCCCTTCCCTCTTCCGTGCTTCCTTAGCTACCACCTTTACATCGGCCTCTTACTAGGCGACTCGAGCCTACAGCCAACTACAAGGTATTTATTTTGCGTTGCAGCTTGCCGCACTACTCAGACACGGAAGAACTCAGAACGCCGGACCGAAGGAATATTACATACCAATGAATGGGACTTTTGGCGAAAGTTTACTGATCTGTCCCAGTAGTTCACAAGCCACCACCAACCTAGAAAAGCAACAGACGGCCATTTCGTCCTATTGGGGCTCATCAATCGCGTGCATTCAATTCAGTCTGTTTCAGGGAATCGAACCCATGACCGCCAGCAATTCGCGCCGACTAGCCATCGGGGATGGTGATGGGCCATCTTAAACCGCAATCCAACCGAGATGTAGTGCGACCTATCCTTTACCGCAATGTGGGTTATTACCATTGCAGAGGACAGTAACTGGTGCTTAGAGATCAGGACGTCCACTGCACAGCAGTTACGTACGCACAGCACTTGAAGACTGTGTGAACAAAGTTTCGATTACTAATCCGTATGAGAATTTCTTATGAGAATTTACCGATTCGTCTCAGCAGCTTATAAGTCAGAAAAGCACAATACGGCCGTTTTGTCCTATTGGGGCTAGTCAGTGGTGCGTATTCTGTCGGCCTCCTGAGGGGAACCGAACACATGATCGCTAGAAGCTTACGCCAAATAACCAGCAGCTTATACCAAAGAGCCATAAGGAACGGTGGTGGACCATCACAACTTGCAAGTCCGGTGGGTTAAAGCGCGAGAAGGCGAATGTGAGCAAAAAATACAAAGGATCAAATAAATGACCAGCTATAGGGTTGAGGATAAACACTTGAAAGCAATAGGTTGAACACAATGGCCCTATCGATTTCGTGCTTTGCAGCTCGGTGCCAATCCTCTAACAATGAATGCGTTCGATCCACTTAACACACTAAGAAGTTGGAAACACAGCAGTTCGATCAGACTTTGCAATGAACTTTTTCTGACTGCGCACTTAATATGGCGCGCCGCTGGCAAACACAATGGGCCAAAAATGGTGATCAGGAAAGATGCGAAAATGTCGGCCAGGTTAACAGGGACGATTTGAGTTTAACATGCGATCCATAGTAACACCGAATTAGCTGTTAACATACTGTATGCCGGACATTCGGGCAGCTCACTTGCCATCCCAACTGAGTACGGTCGAAGTAGCAAAAAGAGCAGTGATTAGAAATAAGCAGTCGCTGCACGTCCATTGTATGTTTTTCATGCACACAATAACATTGTATGTGCTGAAATGTTATACGCCGTACGCCTGATCAATGGGAAAGTATTGTGACTTCTCTAAAGATAAATGATACGCAAGTTTACATTTTTTTGTAGATGAAAGTGAAGTTTGGGAGGCGTGAAGTGAAACCCAAAGCATGTGACGCATCCGTATTAACCTAACCAGAAGATCGAAGTCCAATCCCCAACCCCCAAAAGAACCGTATACACACACTATACACGTAAGCTAGAGATGGGAAACACCTCAGCTACTGTGCCGCAATACCTTAAAGAGAAATAGGGAATAAAATGCAACAAGTTCAAGTCAGCTGAGCTACCGGTAACGGATGGGTATCGTTCCGGTAAGCTATATGCCGGCCACTATGCAGCAGAAAAAAATAATTTCCTATGCAAAATTATAATATGCTAAATAATGAGATCGTGGTTGGAGGGGAGGTTAAGAAGGATGGGGTGGGACAAAGAAACTCACAGCACGAACGCCAATGAGGTCGGCTCCTAGCCATATCAATAAGTGTATCCAGCCAAACGTGTTCATCGTCTTTCGGACCCCAACCAGGGAGCCGAGATGCTCCAACTGAGGCCAGCTTCGAAGTGAGGGCCTTCATTCCTCTCGACAAAGTCATCGCTTGGCCAACCCTCCTCTTCTTCCATCCACACCCCCGGCGTGCAAACAACCCACGTCGAGGGGGTCGGTGGGCTGACATGCGTAACACGTGGCCGAGCCATCGGAGCCTAACGAGTGAAATAACCGTGCTGAGCGGCTAATTTCTTTTTCCTATGCCGTAAACAAGGCGTCGAACACGCTCGTTGCTCACGCGGTGTTCCCACCAGATGTGAGCTAAATTGCGAAGGCGCCAGTGGTCGAAGGTAACCAGCCTCTTTATGCCCGCTGATCTAAGGGGTCAGATTTCACAACCGTACAGCGACATGTCATACCGACACTGCGTTGCCATGCGACCACCACTACTCCCACGTGGTTTGGTGACCCTGTGAAGCAGCCCGCAGCTACGCAGATCCGAACCAAGCATCTTTGGGTTGCAAGGCATATGCCTAAGCCTTTCGGCCACCTACCAAAGGCATCTATGGTGCATGTGAGGACAACGTTTAAGAGACTAAGTGCTTTACGTTGAATTCGAAGTGGGAAAAGGGACCTAATATGCTTAGACGACCAGACAGTAACGATTATGCTCCCTTCAGATAATTACAGGAACCCAGTATCGAACCTACACAAGCGCAGCATGCAGGTGTACCGAATTCGTTATCAGCAGTGACAGCATCTCATGGCAGAGAGCAAACAAACACCAGCACCAAAACGAAAAGCGGGAACAGGTCACTGAAAAAAATGGTAATAATGTGGCTAGGTCTTAATACTCACCTTGCTTGGCACATAGTCAGGGGTTGGTGTGACAATTTTTGATCCACGACAAAGCTCCTCGGGAACTGGAACACGCTCGTACAACATTTGTTCCAGGTTCATAAGCAGTAGCGTACGATCGAACGCATCTGGACTGCCAGGAGCGGGCATAGAAAATGGTCGATGGGGGCTGAGTTTGCGTTTCTCCGTTTTTTTGGCTGTTCGTGTGGTGCTCGTTCTCACAGGACAATCGGGCTTATCGGAGGAGCAAATGGAATTGCTGCATCGCGTCAAATTCTTTAGCTCAGTGGAAATTGCCTGGATTGAGGCGCCCGATACCCACTGACGCTTTTTGGAGGGAAGTTTGACTGATTGATGCTTATCTAGGGTGGAAAAGAAGGCAAATGCTAAAATGCAGCAGAATGGGATAATTGTATCAATGAGGCAAGATGCACTGGTTTAATCACCAATGGACAGGAAAATCCAGATACTTCCTCGCAACAGCTCCAAATCAGATAGTCTTCCACGTCTGTAAAAGTAATACACCTCCGTGGCATCCTATAGGGACTCATCATTAATGTGCATCATTCGGGATCCGAACCCAAGAGCAGTAGCGGCTGGCACTGCTAGCCAACAGCATATGTCACTGAGTCATGGGGGACAGCGATAAATTGTCATGACGTTTGTCCCTCGGGACCAACCCAATCCTTTGTAACGTTCGTAACCTGCACGGTATTGAGGGATAAGTCGGGCTACATCGCTGTGAACTTGTAGCATAACAATCCGCCGCCCTCCCCGTAGCCTAGTAACATAAGCTGCTGGCTAATGGTACATGCCGTTGGTAGTCATGGGTTCGGATACCGACGGTGCAGGCGGGTGTGCGCCAGTGATGAGCCTCACTAGCACGAAACAGCTGTCTACTGATTCTCCGAACGTGTGGAGAACTACTAGGTTTGGAAAATGCTGCGGAGAATCATGTACCTGCTATCATCAGGTAGAGATAGCGGGCTTCGAACCCGGGAACATCGGAATAGTGGCCAAAACCTCTACCTCATTGGCTACCGAGTCACGACGAGTAACGCTTGGCACAACAGGATGAGATCAAACACGATCGAAAAGCGTTGTGGTATGCAGTGTTTCGGGCAGGTAACACCCAATTTCCAAATACTTCAGCTACGATCCTAATGATCGCATTGACCAAGATTCATCCCAATGTGAATCGCAGTCTACATTGAGATAGCGCATCGCAATCCATTCACACAAGGAGTACTTCAAATGACCCTCCAATCAATCAGTAACCGTGGTACCAAGCGTTGGCCGTCGTGACCCGGTAGCCAATTGGGTAAAGGTTTCGGCTACTTTTCCAATGGTACCAGCTTCGAAGCCTATCACCTCCACCTGATGGGACCGAAAATGGTCGAAACGCGTTGTCGTGTGTAGTGCTTTCGGGCGGGCAACATCCAATTTCCATCTGCTTCGGCTACGGTCCTAGTAATCGCATTGACCAAGGTTCACTTCAATGTGAGTGTATGAGTGGCTCTGAAGGTGCAAACAGCACCAATCAGGATAGCTCAATGGATCACTGAGGCACATAAACCGTTGCAGTGAACCTGCAATAGTAACACTCAAAGAAGTAAACCTAAGACGTGAGTCGCGAAATCACTTGATCGAAATCAAAGGAAAAATGTTATTAGATAATCACGTGAATTACGCTTGGAGCCTATCGAGAACTCATGATTTCAAAGCAGTTTGAAAATATAATGTGCTAGACGATTATCAACAAACGTTTTGAAAATATTCGTACGTAATAACACTTACCAACCATATCGAGTGCGTGGCTGGAAAGATGCAGACGGGGGACGTTAAAGAGTTCTTCTTCCCATGAATAATGATAAGCGGACGGAGAGAAAAAACATAACGACTACCGGTAATGAAATGAATAGAAAATGGACGACAGATACCTTGTTGAATGGGGTAACATCAGTCTCACTGAGGCATACGGAATTAACTCGGTTGCAGAACAAGACAATCACACATTTTATTAAATTTGGACGACGTACGATGCACCAACTAAGAGAAATTGCAGTTATCGTTCAAAACATTGGTTACTCTGGCCATGCAACGAAGTGTTGCGGAAGAAAAACCAACCCCAACAACTTCTGTAATTCCGAAGCGAAAAGAACCTTTTTAATCTTCAATTTTTCCTCGTTGAAAAACACCAAAGGTCTCTGAAAAACGTAGATATTACGCCTACTAAAATGTCTCTACTGCTTTTGGCTTCCTGTTCGGCTTTTGTAAATCGAAAGACCCCATCTTGAAAATTGTTGACAAGAGCCAATCAGGACTTGTAAATTGGAAGAGTGACGAACACGGTAGCTAAAAATACAAATGGATGTAAAATACGAAAACTGGAAAATAGGAGCTACAGAGAGTAGGAAAAAGCAACCTGTTCGGAGGGCTGCCTCCAAACGAATTCATTCCCTTTGTTGACACTTAGGTTCATTAACTACAATTACATTTTTCTCCGTTTCATCTCGTCAATGATTCTATTCTGGACTGTGACGTTCTTTCGTTCCCACTGTACAATGCTCAATCTCTCCGCTTTCACACCCGGAGCTATCTTCCATCCGTGATAGTCTGTCTTCTCTTTTCGTGTGTTGACATTGTGGTTGCTTAAAGGATAGGAAGAAGATAACACTGGCGACGGGGTTCTGAAACGAAACTAATTATGTCCTTTTCAACTGACCATGTGAAAGCAATCCTACAGCAACCACAAACGCAGTTCGAACAATCTCAACTGCGAATCATTCAAACTCTTGTTCAGTCCCTTTCTCTTTAACCAACAGTTCCATCAACAAGTAACACCTCGGCATCCTCAGCCGATGCTACTGCAGTTTCTATCTGGGGGTTTCACTACGAGCCTACATTTGGTCTCACTTATGATCCGTGGTACAAGCGCTGGAAGGATACATTTGATAATGAGGTCACGGATAAAGATGACTCATAAAAATCCGGATTCTTAATTCGGAAACTTGGAACCGCCGAGCACGATTGTTTCACTAACTCCATTCTTCTCCAACAACCCAAAGATCTTGTGCATACAGCAAAACAATTAGGCGAAGTTTTCAGAGAGCAGCGTTCGGTTTTCAACATCCGGTGCAATTGTCTTAAGTTGGTGAAGCGTGGTGCAGATGATTAGGTCACTTATGCTGACATCGGTGAGTGTGAAAAGTTTCGATTGCAGACATTCTATCCGAATCATAGTGGTAGGGAAAGAAAAATAGAATGTTCAATGAGGAGAGAAAAATGTTAGAAAAATGAGATTTTTCAGTTTTACATACGCCGTTTAAAGTGCTTTTGTTTTCACGTTTTGAGCAAAATGAAATACTACATGAAGAGATGGCACAAAAGCACTGACGCTATTGATTCCTGTCGCGGGTCATAGCCTCTAAGAGTTTCAACCACTGGGAATCCGCTTCACGTGGTCCACAGTCTGGAAGAGGCACGTATCCAACTGATGCTGGACTCGAAGTTAGAATCTTCATGCTACTTTTCCAGGTCATAGGTTGTCCGCCGCTGCTCTTTTTCCATTCGCATCCAGGAAGTGCAAATAATGCGCGACGTGGAAGGCGATGAGCTGGCATGCGCAGTATATGACCTAGCCAACCCAATCGGTGCTGGATGATTATGCTCTGGAGACAAGGAATGTCCGCTCGCATGACTCTGCTTCTAACTTCCGTGTTGCTCACATGATGCTGTAATCATACGCGAGTAATCGAACGCAAGCAGCGATTGTCGAAAGCAGACAGTCGTCGCAACTCTTCCGATCGAAAAAGCCAGGTCTTGCAGCCGTACAGTAGGACAGCACGGGCTGGGGTATTGTACACTCGGCGTTTGAGCTTGAGACTGACTTCGCGAAGACATCACAAGTGTCTCAGGTTAGTAAATGCAAGGCGAGCTTTGAAAATTCGTTGTGAAATTTCAGCGCCAATACCGCCACCAGCCGTGATGCAACTCCCGAGGTAAGTAAAACTGTTAACAAGCTCTAGGCTGACACCCAAAATAGTGAGCGTAGGCACAGGCGCCTGCCAATCCTGGAGCAAAGCTTTACACTTGGATGGAGCAAAATACAGACCGTACTTAGATGCCTCTGTCGCTAAGCGGTTCAGAATGTTTTGAACAGCCTGTGAGTCATCCCCCAGCAAAGCGATGTCATCAGCATAGTCCAGGTCCACGACTCTGCTCCCGGGTAGATGATCAACGTCGCAGCTCTAGGCTCCTACCAGTGCAGGATGTAGAACATCTTCGATGGCAAAGATGAACAGGAACGGCGAGATAGGACAACCTTAGCGCACTCCACTGGTAACAGGAAACGAAGGAGTAAGCCTGCATAAACTCTAACTTTGCCAGAGGTGTGACTATACAGCTCTTTCAAGAGCATGACAAACTTGCCGGGAACGCCGTTCCGTAGCATACAGTTCCACAGAGATGACCTATCTATTGAGTCAAAAACGGATCGGATATCCAAAAACACCACCACTGTTGGTCCTCGGTGGACATGACAATGTTCGAGGATCTGACGCAACGTGAAAATTTGGTCAATGCAACCACGGCCAGGAGGAAAGGCAACCTGTTCCTCACGACAAAAACTCTCGCGGGTAATTGAGAGCCTACGCAGCAAAATGGACACAAAAAGCTTGGATGTGACGGAGATAAGATAGATTCCTCGGTAGTTAGTGCATTCACTACGAGTCTTTCTGGTGGATCAGAACCACAATAGACTCTCCGCATGAAGTAGGAACCTCATCGCTAAATACTTTTGTGAACAGTGGGAGAATTTCGGTGACAATTATGCACCCCAACTTCGAATAAGACTGGAGGAAGACTGTCAAAGTCAGGAGCTTTGTGGCGTTTCAGAGTAGATTTCCCCCCATATCTCTGCCCCAGTGGGAGGATCTGTGCAGAATGACCAAGGATCACATGACGGCAGTGGATGTGTAACCGGCTGTGCTGGGCTATTAAGCTAGAGAGCAAAGTGCTCTGCTCAGCAATCCAAACGTCAGTGTAGTTTTGTGGTCTTCCTCTTGAGCCAGAACCTATCTGTGGGACACTCTCCTGAGTACCTGAGCAAGCTGATATTAATTTGCACAGAGAATGTTCGACTTGAGTATGAGGAAACTGCGTACACGCAGGTCGATGGTGTTGTAATGGGAAGGCAGCTGGGCCAGGTTCTGACAGATATATTCCTTGCGCAGATTGATCGCAAAATCCCTATCATTGATGAAGCAAAGCTGCATAAACTGTATGTAGATGACATCCTAATCTTCACCAGTTAGGAGCAATTTCGCTGAATGGTCGGTGTTTTAAGCCAAAGGCTTTGGATGAGGACCCTAATCGTCTTCCTATCTAGGTCTGGGCGCCCTGGCAGTATCTCAGCCCACATAAAGCCATGACATTTTCTCCAAACATAAACTTCATCCTGCATCGGCCGCCGCGCAGATTATCAAGGGTCGCTTTATTTGCTGCATACAGTAGTGCGGATAAGCGAAAACACGATACTGCTGACGACTCTCTTCTTTTCCACCTATTTATCTTACTCCCATCCCGACCCCTATCACTAACCTTCCTTCTATAATTCCCAGCTTAATTGACAGTAACAGATGTGCCACTGGAGTAGAACCATCTGCAGCCACCATCCCCCAGCACCTATCGGACGCGTATCGGCAAAAATCCCTTATAAGGCCACGCTATCCCGTTTTCATGGCGACATTCAACGTTCGCACTCTAAGACAAACAGGTCAACAGGCTGCACTCGAACGCACCTTGGACACACTGGGTATTGATGTGTTGTGTGTCCGGAACTAGGGTCAATGACCCTAATGGGGTTGTTGAATTAACTGCACCCGGCTTATCCTCTCGTTATTGGTTGTACGCATCCGGAGACCCCGAAGCAGCACTCACGAGTCAAGCTGGTGTAGGTATCATTCTAAGCACCAAAACTGAGCCGTCGTTGGTTGATTGGATTCAGGTGAACAGCCATTTATGTGCAGCCTGTTTGACGACATCACCTAAGGTTGATTCACGAAGTAGTAATAAACGCTGTTTGTTTGTGATTTCCGCTTATGCTCCCACCGACGGCAGTTCTAATGCTGTCAAGGACACATTCGATCACGAACTTAACGCGCTACTACGCAGTGCTACTAGTTCAGATATTACAGTACTTGCAGGGGATATGAACGCACAGGTAGTGCGTCTGACCTCTTCAGAAGCTCAGCTGGGTGGTAATTGTGGGCTTAACTCCGAACGGAATGACAACGGTGAGCGTCTCCTGAAACTGTTTGCGAAGCACCAGTGGGTGCCGAAGTGCCACTTGGCATCCTCCTGTAGCTGGCCAGCGATGGACCCAAATTGACCACATAGCCATAAGTTACCGATGGCGTGGTTCCATCCTGGATTGCCGCTCATATTGTAGTACCTGTGTCGACTCTGATCATGCCCTGTTGCGCTGTCGTTTCTCCATAAACTTTACCGGGAGGCGCACAAAGTGTCCCCTCCAATTGGCAACTGAGAAATTGTCTCAGCCCTCGGTTAGGCAAGCCTATCAAGACGCACTGCCTACTGAACTTCCGCTGTCTTCTCATAATGACACTGAGCTACAGTGGAATAGGATCTCGGCCGCCATGCATGACGCAGGAGCATCTGCTTGTGGCACTATCAATCGTCACCGCAACAGTCACTGGATATCCGAGAGGTCGGTGAACCTGTTGGAATCCAGAAGAAACCTCTCGGCTGGCTCTGAGCACAATGTGACCAGACGGGCTATTAGGCGCGAACTAAAGCGGAGCCTGCGTGCTGACAAGGAAGCTTAGTGGACCAGTAGGGCTCAAGAAATGGAGGAGGCAGGAGCAGTAGGCAATTATCGCAAGCTCCACCAGCTGTTCCGCACCACTGGTTCCAGAAAACTAGGTGTCGGTGAGACAATCAGAGACAGCGCAGATGCACTGATACACAATAAGGAGCGCCGTATTGCTCGTTGGGCGGAACACTTTCAAGATCAGTTCAGCTCCCCTGCTCCCGGACCTCTTCCTACTCAGTTGATGCAGGACGAGCCATGGTCGGTTAGTTTAGAGCCTCCGTCGGAGGCCGAGGTCCGAAACGCGATCAAAACCCTTAATCGTTTTCGTGCCGCTGGCCCGGATTCCATCCCACCTGCACTATATAAGGATGGAGGTGCGGTCCTCTGCAAAGCACTGACCTCCCTATTCGAACGCAGCTGGAATGAAGTGTCTCGGCTAAATGGAACGAATCGATTATAGTGGCAAT